TATATATAAAATACATTATTTATTAAATAGATTTTATTCAAATATAATTTTAAATATTTAACTATTATAATAATTTAAATAATAAGTCATATAATTTGAATTTATTAATTAATTATGTTATAATTAAATATTTAACTGTTATAATAACTAATCTGTATTTATAAGAAGAAGAAGAAAGGAGAGAATAAAATCTAAGTTTAATGTGTAGGTGTGCAATTTTGATATTTTAATGGGTTCAGAGAGGATAAAGTAAGGGTATTACATCCTTAAAAAACTGCACCCTGTCCTTGCCTTTGCAAATTAGAGAAAACCTAAACCAGAGTCCAAAATTAATCAAATTATCAAAGTGAATTTTATCCGTCAAAGTTGGATAAGAATTAGATGAGTGCTTACAAGTTTGGATTTAAACATCCGAGTTTTTTACTTTATTACTTTTATTTTTTGAGCCAGTTGCAGTACTATATATATTTACATGCATCCTAAAGTATATTCATTATTTAGAGACAAATAAATAAATAAATAATTGCTTAAATGCTAGTACTTTTTTTTTGTAACATTGAATTTATGCAACACACAATTTTGAACAATAAAAGAAACTATTATTATATAAAGAGAAAGAAAAGCATATTAAGTAAGAGTGTGGATAGCAAGACTTGAAAAATTTATAAATTTATTTGACAAGTTTAAAAGTTCATTTGATTAAATTATTTTTTTAAAATACGAGTTTATTTTAGATATTTATAATTTTTTATTAGTTAATTGAAGTAATTTATAATTTATAAAAAACTCTTAGCTTAATTTAAAATAATTGATTTATATCTTAATCTCTTTTCTTACTTATTGAATAAATGAATATGATATTTGATATTAATCAACTAATTTTATTAAACACTTATAATTTAGTAAGTTTATAAGTTGGTTTTATTAAACACATTTTAAGAATATTTTTTCTTCTTTTTCCTAATTTTATTTGAACTAGCTAGGGTTGACTATGAGTATGGAGGACGATATAAATCTCCTTATTAAATTTTAACACAATTATATTGAGTGATAACATGAGAACATATAAAGAATGATTTTTAACAACTTATACATAAATGATTGATATTAAATTTAAGTAAAATTAGTCTTGATTGTTAACCTATAATTGTATGACCATATCTTTACCTTTCACTTTATTAGGATTTGGGGATTAAGGTTACGTATAAGTTCTCGATCGTGACTCTCAATATCTTTTAATTTTTAATAAATAAATATTATGCGTCACTCTTAATTTATTATACTAAACATGAGATAAAATTTTACTTATTTAATATATACGAATAGAGTTAAATAAATAAATTTAAGCACAATTTTATTATTATAAAATTTCCCCCTTTTTTTTACACTAGTTATTATAAAATGTAACAGGACAATAGGAGAATATAAATTTTCATGTATGCAAACAAAATATAAATGATTTGAGTCCATAAAGTAGGTCTCAAAGACACGTGTGAACCAAAGAAGCGGGAGGGACGCCAGTCAGAGAAGTAAATTGATTAGCATATCAATATAAGGAAGGACAGATTTTTATCATTTATGTACAAGACATGACAACTAATATTAAAATCATAGCTTAAAAACTTATTTTAGTTTTTTATAATAATTATTTATTTTAATTTAATTTAATTTTTATTTTTAGTCTTAATTGAGTCCTTAATAAATTAATTAGTTGCAATATCATATTTTTATCCAAATTATTTAAAAGGAGTTAATTGTTGATCACGTGGATGTCACGTAGAAACGTAGGTGGATGTCACATGAATGTCGAATTTCTTGAATACACCTGGAACCAGAACGGGCCGTTCTGAGTTCACTCTTAGTGTGTTAATTTTTCATTTGAAACGGACCGTTCCAGATGCAAAATTAACACACCACGAGTACATCAGAATAGTCCGTTCTGAAACTAGAACGGACGTTCTGGTTTCAGAACGAGACGTTCTGAATTCAGAACGGTCCATCCAGAACGCCAACTTGTTAAGTGGGACAATAAAATATTCTATATTATTTTTATTAAAAAATATAATAATTTTGAAAAATATTTTTTTTACGGTAAAAATTTTAAAATTACTTATTTTTATAAAATACAATTGTCTTATAAATAAAGTGATAACTTTTCCTTTTTCTCTTTCTGTCTGAAGAAATATTTTAGTGTCACTTTATAATTTTTTGCAACTTATTTAAAATTAGAGGAATAAAATGATAAAAAATTAATAGGATAAACATAATAAAATTATTAATTTATTTTCTTTTAGTGTCCTCTAAATTTTTACACTCATTTAAAACAAAAATATTTTATATGTTATTTTGAATTAATTTAATGAAGTATCATATAATTTTTAATTTTTTAAAAAATTTTATAAATTTAATCTATACATGAAAAACTTTTTAATTTAACAATTAAATTTTTAAAAATTTGATATAGAACATTAATTATTAAGTAGAATAAATCTATCAAGACTTATTCTTGAAGTAAGTAAATTTTTTCTTCATTAACAATGAAGATAATTTTTTACCACAAAATAAAAAAACAATTAAACAATAAAATAAAATATAAAAAATATTAATGTATTTATTATATTAGATATAACAAGATAATTAATAATATATATTTTATAAAATTATTAATATTTTATATATAAAAAAAAGAATGAAATTTTTTTTAGTGGGGGCAAGTGCTCCCACTATGATTAACTTAGATTTGTCCCTGCATGTGGTTGTGGTGAAATGTTAGTCCTATGTATCCTCTTCTTTTACTTCAGGTTGGTAGTAAGTGGTTCATTCCAGTTTGACTAACAATGAAATAAAATCTGCTACCATTGTCTTTAGTGATATACTACATTGTCCTTAATGATACACTGTATAGCCCAATTGTTTAGTAATTGAAATTATCAATTTTCATTGACAATATTACTAAATCCAGTGTTTGAAATGCTTTGTACCTTGGATCTTTTTCCTTCCACGATTCACAACTGTGAACTATAATCATTGACCGTTTGTGTTTGGTATTCTGGAACCAGAACGGCCTGTTCTGAAACCAAAACGACCCGTTCTAGTTGCACTCTTAGTGTGTTAATTTTGCACCTGGAATGGGCCGTTCCGGATGCAAAATTAACACACCAAGAGTGCACCTAGAACGGTCTGTTCTGGTTTCAAAACGGGCCGTTCTGATTCCAGGTGTTTTCAAGAAAATTGGCATCCACGTGGCATCCACCTATGCATCTACGTGGCATCCACGTGACTAACAATTAACTCCGTTTAAATAATTTGAACGAAAATCTGACATTGCAACCAATTAATTTATTAGGGACCAAATTGAAATAATAAATAAAAATAAAATTAAATTGAAATAAACAATTATTATAAAAGACTAAAATATATTTTTAGCCTAAAAATCTACTTTAATGTTTTTGTGGGTGGGCAGGCATATATTTGTAGCAGAAATTAAGGAAAGAGTTGTGGTGTGAAATTGATTTATGTGATTTAGTTATTATCTATATTGTGTTGAGTGATTTCAAACATAATAAAGCAAAAATATTGTGAAGATATTAAGATTTATTGAAATAGTTGGAAGTAAAAAAATGGGCACCGAAAGGCAATAGGAAGAGTATGAGGCTATGAGGGGATTTGAATGGGAATGGTTTGGGGTGAGTCAAAAGGTGCAATGATAAGCATGAGTTGAGCACTAAAACTGAAACTGTACCACACTAAGACCCTTCTTATTAACCCCTCCCCACCACCTACCCTATCATGATGCACCACTTTGCTATGGACAACTCTCAGCATCAGCATCAGCATCTCCTCCAATTCTTCCACACCACCCCCTTCTTCCAATCTCCCCCCCACACCACCACCTCCCACCAATTGCAAGACAGAGCCCTGGCTGCCATGAACAACCACAAGGAAGCTGAGAAAAGAAGGAGGGAGAGAATCAACTCCCACCTCGACCACCTCCGCACTCTTCTCCCTTGCAATTCCAAGGTTCTCTTTTTACACTTTAATTGCCATTTCCCATACCAAAACTCTATTTGCAAAACGTTTTACCAACATAACATAACATAACATATCATATAATTCATTCCTTTCAGACAGACAAAGCTTCGCTTCTCGCCAAGGTTGTCCAGCGAGTCAAGGAGCTCAAACAGCAAACCTCCCAAATCACTGACCTCGAGACGGTTCCCTCGGAGACCGACGAGATCACCGTGCTCTCCACCGGCACCGACTACGAAGCCGGCGGCGAAGGGAGGCTCATATTCAAAGCCTCTCTCTGCTGCGAGGACCGCTCCGACCTCATCCCGGACCTCATAGAAATCCTGAACTCGCTTCACCTCAAAACCCTCAAAGCGGAAATGGCCACGCTCGGAGGAAGAACGCGCAACGTTCTCGTCGTGGCTGCTGATAAAGAACACAGCATCGAGTCCATTCATTTCCTTCAGAACTCCCTCAAGTCCTTGCTAGACCGTTCCACTCCAACTGACAGGTCAAAACGACGCCGTGGCCTAGACCGAAGACTAATGCCTTTAACATGACACCCCATGCAAATGCACGTCTTACAAACATCACTCTTCCTACATATCTTTCCTTCATTTCGATTTGCTACCACAACCACAACCCCCAACATACCCTATTACATTTCTAAGCCTACAAAATTTTGTTTAAAGTCTAGACAACTTGGTTAAAGTTGTACAAACCACTGTTACTTTTGCGAGTTTTGGTTATGGAAAGGGAAGTTAATTAAGATGGATATGTATTACTTAGGTTGTTATTATAGTACGTAGTAGGTACTACTTAGGTATAGCTAGGGTTTATGTGATGTCTGCATGGGAACCAGTGTTGCATGTAAGTAGGAGGGTAAGAATCTTAGTGGGGTTTTGTTTAATTACGTGATGTGCAAGTTGAGGCTAGGGAAAGGAGTCTGTCTGTTCTGTAAAAGCAATGCTTCTGTGAGTTTCCAAGTTGTAGAAAATGGCATATTCCTTTCTCTTTCTCATGTCCTTATTTTCTTTATCTGATGTATATATATGTGTTTTTCCTTTTACACTGATTCTAAAGAAAGAACTGGCCGGTGGGTTGGGAAGTGGGTTTTGGGTTGGATTCTAGCTCAGGTATGTTGCTGTAATGGGATGCTCAGGTTTTAGTTACAGTGCTATCTGCTGGTGTGTGTGTGACAGTGAAATGACAAGGGGGTTTTGGTCCTGGAACTGCAACATTGTGTTGTGTTTCCAAATTTTGCTTTTGGGGGAGAAAAAGGAAAAAAAAGTCTAGTCACTGGTCGGAGAAAGAGAGCTACCTCTCACTCTGGATAAATGCTAATTAAAACCCTGTTTAATTTAATTAATCTGAGTGCATAATTTCTCTCATTATTTAAAGGCCGAATCAATATATTGATTAATAAAAACTTGGGGAAGAACTTAGTCTTGCCTGCTGCTTCAGATGTCAGTGTGCAGAAATTGTATTGCGTTTAAACTTTGATGTCAATTTTGTTTAGTAACATATTCAAATCAAATGATTCTATATTTGGATAGATATCTGATTAATATATATGTTATTGCTTAATGCTTACAAGTGCAGCTTCACTATCTGATTTATCTAAATAGTTCAGCACTGTAAGTTTGGGAACCGGTCGAGAAATAAAAAGAAACACTATAAGGATTTAAAAACTATAATTATAAGCTTCTTAAAGTCATATTCAAAGATATAGAGAATCACAGCAGGGGTGATGTGAAACCAAACGCATTATTAGTTTGGTCAAGATTTGAGTTGAGGGCGTCAAAAAGGTTTAAGTTGACTGGTATATACTTATCTACTTTATATCCTTAAGCCATATCTGTAAACTTCATGCCTTGCAAAGCTCCTACATATATGGTTTGGGACATGAATTAAATTAATACGAAAGTTTATTCTGCTATTCTAGATTCTCATGTCTGAAATTTCAGACATATCTAAATCTAATTGGACGGCTCCATTTAAGAAGAGAAAAAGTTCTTTCGGCTCAAAACCTTAATTAAAGAAAACAATGACTTTATCACTTGTCCGTTAATCCTATAGTATTTAAATTCATGATTACAAATGTTGCAATTTAAATTATATATTGAGACGATTTTGGGGAATTAATTAACCTCGGTGATTCTCCCTCACTCTCACACACACCAATGATAATAACTAGGAAAAAAAAAGAGACTCTATACTTCTCTACTTTATTTTATTTTTTTATTATTTTTTTTTATAAACAAAATATAAAAGAAAGAAAAAAGAAGTTAACAAAATTAAAGTAGGTAATTGACTGGTAAAATTTAGTTATCATATGAAAAAGTGAGAGCAGTTAATACATATTAGAGATAAATACATCTAAAAAAAGGTAGAGGCCGCTGTTATTATATATTATTATAGATATTATAGATTATAAATACTAATTTGAATTAATTAGGTATGTATGAGTTTGACTCATTTATATACAATTCTACTTCTCACATCTTTTATATTTTATAAAGAATACTTGTATTTTTCAATAAAATATATAATATAATTTATTTTACAATAAAAAAAATCACAAAGAGACGAAAAAAATATATGAAATAAGGTAATATAATAAAAGAAATAAAAAGTAAATAAGTTTTTTTTTTCTACATCATTATTCAATCACAAATTTTCCTGTACAATAAATTTATTAAATTTTATAATAATTATATATTTTAAAAGTACTTTTTATTGGCATTGACGCATTAAAAATTAAACTCATTTATCCATTATTATGTGATAAGATAAGAGAGTAAATAAAACATAAATGAAAAAAAATGCGAAATTAAAATGATTGTTCCCTATCGGAAAACTTGTACATTCTCTTGCACGGCCATTAAATCTCTTTCCTATATCAAATCAATGTCTTGTGGCGGTCGAAAAAGGAGTGTGACTCACTAGCAGTGTCCTGCAATGATCGTCCAACGTACAAAGAAATCAGCAGATACGTAAAGCTTCACGTTGCATTATTGATTATTGTTGTTGTTTTCTTTTTCTTTTTCTTTTCTTTATCCCGGACACAAATTTAGCTTTTTCTTTTATGAGTCCACCTAGTTTTGGCCTAAAATATTTTTTGGCCTTTAAAAACAGAGAAAAATTCACCCAATATTAATCTATGATTTATAGCCTTTAAAATAGATAAAAATTTGAATAATATTTTAAAATTGATAATTAAAAATTAATTAATTTGCATATGTGAGGTGTGAATTCCATTTTCTAACCGAGTATATATATTACCATAATATATAACTTTTTTTTTTCTCACTTAGTCCACCTAACTCCAGCTTCGAAACGATTTAAAAGCCTTTAAAATAGACAATAATATCATATATGATTGGGAGTTTAAAGGATCAACTGAAAAAGAAAATGGTAAGTCTCATGATTAGCTAATATATAAGCAAAAAGCCCTGCATTTATGCATTTTCCATTCTCCTTTTTTTTTTATTAACATGAAAAAAAAAGATAGGTTGCTCCTCATCAAGAATCTATAATTATTTCAGACATTTTTTTTATTATATAACTTGAGATTGCTTATAAATATATTTTAAATAAAAATATTAAGTTTTAAGCCATTAAAAAATAAACAATTTATATCAAATAAGTTAGTCATTTAAGTACATAAAAACAATGTTATTAAGATTATATTTAATTGTGGACATCCACTTGTCTAGAGTCTTTATAATGACTAATTTTTTTTACAATGTTATAAAATATTTAACATTATGACAATAATTTTTTCCTTCAACTTGATGTATCATTATTTTTCTTTATTGATTGACAATAACTATTACAATTATTAATATACATATTAGGGTTATGGATAGGGTTAGTATTTATGGTTAATGATTTGTGGGTTTAGGGTTTAACTGTTTTTGGATGCATAGTTTTTAAGGTTTAGGTTTTACGGTTCTATGATAACAATTTATGGTTTAAGATTTTAGCATTTTAGGATGTATGGTTTACAATTATGATTTTAGGGTTTAAGGTTGTAGTATTTTAAGGTGCGAGGCTTTTAGGGTTTATGGGTTATGATTTTACGATTAGTGAAAGGGTTAAGGTTTATGGTTTTAGTGTTTTGGGCTATAAGGTTTATATATGATTCTAGGATTTGGATAACATTATAGGATTTAGGGTTATGTATATGTGCTTATGGTTTTAAGGTCAATGGATTTTAGCATTTAGGATTTAAAGTTTATGTTTTAGGGTCTAGGGTTTGAGTTGCAACAAAAAATCCTAAATCCTAAAAGCTCGAACCCAAAATCTTAACCATGAAAAGTAACCATTTTCTTAATGTGAAACCCTAAACACTAAATTATAAACTATAAATCAAAAATCTAACATTATTGCTAATGTTAAACCTTAACAGTAACCCTAAACCCTAAATAATAAGTCAAAAATCATAAAATATAAACCCTACTACACTAACCATTAACATTAATCCTTACCCTAAACCTTAAAACCCACAAATCATATACCTTAAACCATAGACCCTAAACCCTAAAAACTAAACCATAAACCATATACAATAAACAACATTCATAACCCTAAACCATACTCCCAAAACCCAAAATCCTAAAATACAAAATCCTAAACCCTAAATCACAAACTTTAAATCATAAAAATAGCCATAAATCATAAACCCTGAAAGTTGTAAATCTAGTTAACCATAAACACAAACCATAATCATAAATCCTAAACCATAAACCTTAATCATAACCCTCAACATTAACCCCAACCTTAACACTAAACCTTAATCTTAAATCTAAACCATACACCCAAAACTCTATACCACAAACCTTGAAATCATGAACCTTAAACTCTAAAACACTAACCATAACCCTAATCACAAACCAAAACCTCAAACCCTGACCCTAACCATTACATACCCTTGCATGTAACCATAACCTTAAACACTAAACCATACAAACAAAATCTTAAACCTTAAATCATAGTCCATAAACACTTAACCCTACTTAACATTAACCTCACATTAAATCCTTAAACCCTAAACTAGTTACAATGATGGGACTTTCATTTGAGTATAATGATGTGATTTTCACGTATTAAATTAGTTTATACAAGAATATTATTATAATAAAAAATAAAGAGAGTGAACCTATTAATTATGAAACCCACACAAAGTGAATAAAGAACCATAGTTAGGTCCTTCTTTTGAAAAGAAATATATATAATTTTTTAAATCCTAAATGACATTGAGAGACCAATATAAAATATATTTAAAAATCCAAAAAGAATCCCACATAACCATTTTACTTCAATTTCCTCTACTTTTATTCAAACTTTTAGGGTTTTACCCATTCCTTTGTCCAAATCAAGCTCTAACATGCTCCTAAATTTTCTTTACAAAGTCTAAATTCTTCAAGTTCAAAAGTTAGACCACCCAAAAAAAAAAGCTAACAAGTTTTAATTGATAAAATTAAAAAACAATAGTAGAACTACTCTTAATTAATATTAAAATACATACAAACTTACATGAAATACTATTGAAAAATTGACATGGAGTATGACATAAGAAGTAGTTAATTAGTCACTAAAGGCTATATTAGTTTTTGCATATATAGAAGAAAAAAAACATCATTACAATTTTATGTTTGCTAATTGCAAACAAAAATACATAGTTAGAGTTAACTAGATGTAATAATCTTTTATATGGGATGGTAAAACATGCTAGCATGTTTCAACCCACTAAAAAGGAGGTCATTCTATCATGTCTTACCTAGCAAAGTAGTTTGAAAATTCTTACCCTAAATCAGAAATCCTAAAACCTAAAATAAAAGTTCAAAAATCAAAATTAATATTACTATATTATATATTTAAATCATATAATAAATTTATACTTTACTAAAAAATAGAAACATAATATAAGAATTTTTTTTAAAGAAATTGATATGTCTTGACCCACCTTTAACCCATTTTTTGACTAATATAAAATGGAACAAATCAAGGTGTGAACACA